TGCAGTACCCTTTTTATTATCCTCTCAAAATTAATTTTGCACTATGCTTTGAGGACGAAAATAACCCCCACATCAGTGCTAAGCATATTGGGTCGTATTGTTTCACACCATTACATTTACATGTGGAGTTTATTCTTTCTTCAGTAGAATGCACTTAACCACCTATAACAATTAAAGATGAAATCGAGCATCAAATTTTCATTATGTAAATACGTCCCCACTTTACATAACTAAAAATAAAGATGTGTGGGCTTTGTCTGAGAAAGGACATTTCCCCGATTTCATTCTCCTGCTCTTCCTTTTGTATTAAAAACGTACAGTGCTGCTGCAGCATACTGCAGGCTTTAAAGGAAACTAGTTATAAAACACCGGGAGCTCAATCAAGAATTTAAAGCAAAGAATATCTCGCAGCACAACTGGGTTGGGTTTTTTTTAAATCAAAAGCAAGTCTATCTTTTTTTTTTTTTTTTTTTCCCCTGAATAATACATTTTAATGATATATGGCATTGGGTCTGGCTCCAGTTTCTATTTGCATATACTTTTAAAGCTGCTAAAATATTAAGATGCTTTTTTTCCCAAAGTCTGATTTCTTCTTTTGTGGAAAAAAACTCCATGTGCAAGCCACAGGCTGGGATCCCAGATCATACACACCAACTCAGTTAAAGATCTATTTATCATTTTTAATATATGAGGCACATCGCTGCTTTACTCTGTAATATCCTATTAGGAATAGAAGTTTGATACATATGGCAAGCACTTATATCTATGATACATATGGCGAGCACTTTGACACATATGGCAAGCCATAATTTAATCTGCTGTCAAAGGAGCAGCAAGACAGCTCCACATCACTAGACATGGTTTCTGTACTATTATCCGTGGAGAACACAGAAATTTGGGGCAACTTGAAGTGGAAAAGTGCTGCCCCATAATGAGGCATAGACCGACTGCTTTAAATTCGATTGCTGGGACAGGGAGTGAGCCTGGGGAGAGCCCGGGCTCCTCTGCCTGAGCTTAACCACGGGCTGGATCCAACCATCTCTTGTCCAACCGCCACCGATCTGCATTTGTGACACGCCCTGAAATAACATACCTGGCTCCTGTACATACCGCGGGCTCTGGTGCTCATCGACACGTGGGTTAGGCTTGGCTTTCCCAAGCCAGCCCATGGCGTTTAATGCTGGGTGCTGCCCGAGAGCTTACCTCCCTGATTTGCCGCAGGTCCTGATCTCCCAAGAGTCCAGCAGACACGTAGGTACTGGATTGGTCTTTCCTGCTACTTTCTGCTCCTCTCTGAGTGAACCAGCACGTTCCTGCCGAGATGAAGCCGAGACACAGCTCTGAGCACGCCTTGTGCCCGGGACTGTCCCCAAAGAGGTCCTGCCCTGCTGTCCTGCAGGATGTCCCCGGTCAAAGCCTTCCCCTTCTAGACAACCTCGACGTGTCCGTCTGGTTTCACCTCCTGGGGTGCAGGTCTGCAGCCGGGTGAGGACAGTCCCTGCAGTGCCGTTGTCTGAAAGCTGCTCCCTCCGTCTGCAAGGGCACCCAAGCACCGCTGCGGGTACACGTGGCTCGTGTAGGGCCTGCAAGCCAGAAGCTCCATCTTCAGCTTATCTCATCTGGGGGTTCTGCAGGGCCATGGGCAGAGAAAGGCCTGGCCTGAGGCTGCAGAGCCCACCCCGGTGAACACGGAATGGCCGTCTGGGAGAGCAGCCTAAAAGGAGCCTTCAGGAAGCATGTTCGAGGCATCTCCAAGGGATTCTGCTGTTGCTTTGTACGACAGAAACGCTGTGATGGCTCCACCTGCCCCGTCCCACCTTGGCTTTGGGCAGCGCCCTGTACCTCCCCTCCCCTCCCACGCAGATAAAGGCGCTGTCCCCATCGATAACGATGGTTTTGCACTCAGAGACAGTTGCCCAAACCACGAATGATGTTTGACACTTCCATGAAGCATCACACCAACATTACTGACTCTTATTTTCATGCCCAGAGGAACCGGGCTTGGCCCGGTGGGCTGGCTGGAGGGGGCAAGCGCCGGGTGGAGGCGGCCAGCACAGACCACGAGGTGCAGCTCAGCCTCACCAGGGCCTGGCAGGGACCGACCCGGCCACAGGCTCCCATCCCCATCCCCAAACCCACAAGTGTGAGAGCAATCCCCTCGCAGCTTCTGCTTCCTCCGGATATCGCTATGCTCAGCTATTGCGTGTAGACTCTCTCTGGTTGATAGGAAGACACGCAATAGTTGAAACTTCTCTGGAAGTGAAGGCTACTGGATAAAAATACAGGGGTAAAATTGGTAACAGCACAGTATGTCAGTGCATCGGATGCAAACTGGCAGCCTGCTAGGGGGCTTAATACTTTATGGAAAGATTTAGGACTGTACGAGCTACTATTCTTGACCGGGCAACAATATCAGCTCTGTCAGGGAAGAAACAGAAGCCTTTGCATTAGGCAAGAACAAGACAACCCGTTGCCATGGGACGTTTTCTTGTAACCTTGAGCAGTGAAAGGATGGCTTCCTGCCTGCAGCCAGCGGGGCGGGAGCCCACAGAGGCAGATTTGTTTCAAGCTTGGAGATTTTTTTTAGTATTCCCTTGTGCCATGAGTCCTAGAGTGCAAGGACCAGCATACGAAAAACCCATTCACAACCGGCGCTGCTTCTGCGGGACGGAGTGCCTCCAGGAAATTTTATTTCTTGAGAACGGGGGGATACGATTAGGTGTCTACATTCTCCACAGTAGTCTCTGCTGGTGCGTTTCATCCCATTATGAGAAATACTCTGTAAACGTTCCTTGACTATGTGAAATTAATTGAATTGTTTTTTTAAAAGCTGGTAAAAAAGGTTTCCTGACATTTATATATTTTGCTTATTGCTTAGCAGCAGGAGTTCTGGGTTTCTGTGAGGGCGGCGAAATAAGGGAAATACTTGTTCTTGACTTGGTTTGGATCCATGATTTATACACTCCCTCATGCTAGAAACGTTATTTCCATGACTGCTCTCATTATTTTACGTGCTGTTCCTCTCTTTACAATTTATGACCACACAGTCATTCTTTACTACCGCTGCTGCTACAGGACATAAACACCGAAGCAGCAGACAAGAGCCCAGATTTTACATCTGAGCCGTTTGCACAGCCCCAGCAGCACGGAGCTGGGGCTACTCTATGACAGAAGGGATGAGTTAGAGCAGGGGAAGCTGCTCTGCAGAGCTCTGCTCCGGCTTTGCTTTGCGTTACTGCACGTGGGGATCTCCAGCCCGCAGAGCGGTCTGCAGGTGAACGTCCCACCTTTCCTTCCATACAAATATTCTGGTATTAAACTCCAGATTACATCAGCTGGCACAGGGCTCACCGTGACGCCTGTTCCATCACTATACAAGCGCGTAAAAATAGGTAATAGCATTTACTGGATTTACATGATCTAAAAATTTCTCCTAAGGCTGTAAAATACAACCGGAGTTCATCTAAAAATTTCATGAAAAATCCACATAAAGCTAAGGAGCTCATAACTTTAAGAACTGCCTCAGTGAGAATCTTATTACTTTGGCACAGGAAGGCTGTGGGTGGAAGGGGAATAACAATCTTCAAGCTCAAAGAAGTCAGGATCTTTTCTAAACAAACAAACAAAAAAATCGGCATCACCACTGACCATCCGGCCATCCTCCAACCAGGCTTCTGGGAGTGCTTCCCATCCCTCCTTTATGCATTTGTGAAACTGCTGAAAAATTAATTTCCTGAGGCTTGCGTTCCAGTGGAATTGCGATCACACCTTTGGCGTTTCCAATTTTCAACATCCTTAATTCAAATATCCGAGCAGTCAGCAGGTCCCGTAGATGGTTCCCACCATTTCCCAGGTATCTTGGTTGTGCCACTTGCTGATTAATTAGTCAACTGATAGCGAGCTTAATTGCTTTTTAGTAAACTGGACAAGCCTCCGCTGCGTGTAGGGAGGATGTGGCCCACCAGCACGTCCTTGGGTTGGAGGCTACAGCCGGGCTCTTCTGCTCCAGGGAGGACAAGCCGCCCTCACTCACAGCAGCCACCAGGCCTCCGGGTAAGCCAACGCTGAGGAGAGCTGAAAGGTGAATTGTCAGGCTCAGACCTCCACCAAGGTGAGTCTACACCCTCCTGGGGACAGTTTGTGTTTGATTCTGCACCATCAGCCCGGTTTTGGTAAGAGTTTCTTTGAGGTCAGTGTACAAAGGGGCTGGTTCAGGCCCGTTACGGTGACTGCAGGGTACCTGCCCCATCTCTCTGCAGCAGCAGCTACCCGAGTATCTTTCATAGTGCTGGGGTTTTGTTGCTTTTGGAATTTGTGAATAGAGGATTTTTGAGCTTTTGGATAAACTCTGCTACCACTGAAATCAGGTAAGGCTTACTGATGGTTTCAGTGGGAACCGAAGCTAAGAAAACTTGTGTTTTCAAATCTAGCCTGAGGCTAAAAGCTACAACAATCGCTTTTTCCACTGATTTTATTGAATGAAAGGCATTCCCTGGCATGCCCTTGGATTCAACAAAGCCTTTTGCCATTGGATTCAACAAAGCTTTTCACTACTGGGTTCAACAAAGCTTTTCTAGTCGTCTCCAGCATTGAAGACACGGCCCACTGCTGTCGTTTTGTCACATATAGGACTATCTCATCACTCAGAAATAACGAGAAGGTCCAGGTTCATGGTGGGATTATAAATGTATTTGGGCTTACAAGTGCCCTGTGAAGAAGCAACTCCATGAGCCCCGAGTGAAGCGCAAGCCCAGTCCCAAAGAGAAGCAGGTATCTCGAGTCGTGCAGCTGCCCGTGTGCATGCTCTGAGAGTCTCCAAGATGTTCCCCTCTAACTTACCTCCCATGAAGCTTCCGTCAGAGTCAGAGCTGGAGGTCTCAGATCACAGAGTCATTCAGGATGGAAAAGCCCCTTGGGGTCATCGAGTCCAACCATCAGCCCGAATCTACAAAGTTCTCCCTTACACCACACCCCTACAGCTCATCTAAACGACCCTAAGATGAACGGCAGGCTGCCAGGAGAGGGGCGCTGGGGGCACCAGCAGCTCTGGACCCAGGAGCTCAGGCCCAGCCCTCGTCCAAGCTGGGTCTATGCGGTAGGCCTACCTCTGCCCAAGGGACGTGCCAGGCTGAGCTGGGCCTGCCTCACCACCTCTCCTTGTCTTGATGACAGAGCCTGTTACTGTCACCAAAGTGGCCCTACTTGGAGTTATCTGACCCAAAAACTTGAGCATCTGGTGACTCAGTAAAATGTGGGCCTGTGCCCGTGGTGCCCATCGCTGTTCCACTTAGCCCACCCCAAGCTCTGCCCTGAAACTGCCCCCACAGCAGAGTTGTGTTGGAAGAGCAGCTATTGCTGCATCATCTGCACACTGACAAAGCCAACCGAGACTCATCTGGGCTTTTCATGCTCCAAAACAAACCACAGCTCCACGTCTCAAGCAGTAAAATAAAAATATTGACCCTCCCATGTAACAACCTTACGGAGAACACCAGCGCGACTACTTTGAAGCTAAAAATTATGCTTAACATAGTGACACTTTTCTGATGAAATTCAGGAGACAACCAATCTTTTGGACAACTCCTTGTTCATTAGCACAGCTCAAAGTCTTGCACACAGAGGAAGCTACGTCCCTGCCAATGGCCACTCCACCGAGCGCACGGATTTGCCACATTTTCATGCTGAGGGATGTACACTCCACAACTAGAGAGTCTCACTAACCTAAGCATAATTATTTGCAAATATGACACTAATCATTTAAATACTGGCAAAAATCTGATTCTAACTGATCACATTTTTACACCAGAAATGAACAATTAAGTTACACGGGAGAACACACAAAAAGGGACAATTCCAACTAAGTGGTTAGGGAAAACAGCATTTAGATTGGCAATTATTTTAATTGCAGGTATCGAAGATGTGTTCTTCTTGGAGACAATATTTTTTCTTTTTCCCTTTTCTCATCTTGAAATGTAGATAGTGTTTAATTACATTGATCTGCAATGGACGAAGAAACGTTATTGCACCAAAAATACATAAAACTTAATAATTTAAGTTGTAGGAACGCCTGAAGCGCTTTGGCTAAGATCTAACCTGAGGGGTCCACAAGTAAATGGTCACTGGACGCGCTGGAACGGCCTCCCCCGTGCTGCGTGTGCAGCTGTCAGAGCTGACTCAGCTGCCTCCGTATAACGGCAGCGATCCTGCTCCTGGGCTCGTTGAGCGAGGCCGCCCTCCCTCGGGAGGGGTGCGCTGGGCTCAGGGCGGGCAAGCCCCCGCCGCCGTTGCGCTTCCCGGAGGTGGGTGCCTTAGCAGCCCTCGAAACACCAAACTGTCCAGAGAGATTGATTTCCTTCCCAGCGCCGGGGCTTGCGCGGCTTTTCTGCCCGTAATCAGCGAGCAGGGCAGCGGAGGAGGTTAGGCTGCCCTGAGTCAGGGAACACGGTGATAAGGGGAAGTTTCCACTGAGCTTTTTTAGTTCCAGGACTTGTTCCCTGGCTTGAGTCAAAGCTGCAGTCAGCTCATAGCGTTCCTCACACTCTCTGCGCACCGTTTCCTGGAGAAGAGTGTTCTGCAAACAGAAAACAAAACACTGGCTTTACAAAATGCCATTCGTCAAAATCTGCGCCTGCTCGGCTCCTCGGGCTTAAGGGGGCTGGAGGGTACTGAAGCACACAAACCCTACACATCAGCATTGACACACCCTCCATTCCCCAGCAACCAGGGGAAAACGTGAGGTCAGTGACCACAAGTTACTTCGGATCTCCTGCCTGTCCACCCTCCAACTAGGGGGAACCGGGAACGCTGCTCCCAGAAAGGAGAAAGCAAGGGGCAGAGGCTGAGCGTTACCACGCCACTTCGCTACGGCACGGTGTTCAAAAAGTTCTCCTCCTCTGTCGTTTACAGAGGTGTGCACTGATTTCTTGTGATGGCATTCATTAGGGATCGTTCTTTCCCATATAACTGGGATAACTGGTTTTCAGCCTAGAGTTTTTCACAGACTTTGCACTGTCGTTCCTGGTACCTAAATGGTGACTGGTGCCGGGCCTGGAGCAGACGGCTGAATTTGTTTGGAATTACAGAAGTCCCAAAGTTGGTATATTACGCAGAACTTATTTGTGATGCTAATTTTCCCGATTTCCAGCTGAAACAAAAAAGTCAATAAAACACAAGGGGGGGACGACACTAAATTGATTCACAGGAGTCAGAACTACTGAAGTACTAACACAAGCGGAAGATACCCACTTCTGTTGTTCTTCTCAGCAGGCAATTGTTGCTGACACCAGGAGGTCTGTGGGAAGGGGAGGGAAGCAAACACCGAGAGCGATGACCAAGTCAAAGGGAGAACAGCCTCAGTCATGCACAACCTCACTGCCCCGACAAAAACTTTTCTCCACAAACCTCCTCGGTGCCAAGAGTATGAGCTGTGCGCCGGGTCAGGTCACGCACTTGAAGCGAGGATGGACATTTGGACTTGACATTCTCTACGTGATTATGACAGTGGGTGTATACAGGGAGGAAAGCACGTAGGAAAGATGGTCTCAATAGCATTTTTTTGACATTCTGAAGAGAAAATACTGGTGTCGGTAAAGTCAGAGCACAGAAGTGTGTTCCCACTACAGCGGAAGGTGGTAAGCTCTGTTTAGCCAAGAGGTTACTCAAACCGTCACATTTTTGCAAGTGTGTTCCCGTCAAAACTGGAAAAATGATGGAGAAATGAAAAGTCCTTTGCTGACCAATTTTTTTTTAGATTTTAAGCTTTTAGTCAAAGCATGTGTAGCGGACGTAGAGTGGAAACACAGAAGTTCTGCTCAGGCTAAGCTCTGTGCCAACTGCAAGCGAAGGGGCTGTTGGAGAAGAAACATAACCACGTGCAGAAGCAGAAGTGGGCGAGATGCAAACATCCAAACCAACTTATTCTCTGAATATCTAACTCTGCAGAGAGCTTAATGAAAGAAAGTTAGAGGTTACTTTTCCTGCCACTCAGATGGCCACTGAGAGTCCATGAAATGATTTGGGAAGCGTTACCTGCAAATCTGAGGAAGTTTACCTTAAAACCAGTTTCAATTTTCAACCGCTCTTATCTCCCCGTTTCCTAATATAATGACATGAGAGGAGGAACTCTGCTTCAGAGTGGGGAAAACTCAGACCATGAGCAGAGCGGGTGGAACCTCACGCTTGAGGACAACAGTGAGTTCCTTCCCCTGCTGAAGAGCTGCACCGATACTCGGAGAGGGGGTGGTGTGTCCTTCCAAGAGCCTTTTCCAAAGGTACAGGACAGAAGGACTGCCAGCATCGTCTGAATTTCGCCAACACAGTGTTTCTGAACCTTCTTCAATCAAGAAACAAATATCAACCCAAACTCTAATTAATTCTGAAGAGTTTTATTTTCACTGTTTACCATTTTTTTTTCTCTGCCACTTAATTGTTTTGGGCACTCCAGTCTAATTTTATCTACAGTCCCTCACTTCACTGTTTTCACACCTAAAGCAGTACAGCTCTCTCTCCTCCCTTCCCATTTTATTCCAAACATTCAGCAAAATGCTTGTCGTGAGAATATGCATCAGTCAAATTTCTCTTCACATTTGATTAATTACTATGCATTCCTGCGTTACAGAGAGTGGATGTACTGGTGGGAGGTGGGATGTGTCCCCGTTGGGATGCACACACATACTCCCACGAGTAAAAGATGCAACCTCTGCCCCAGAAGCCGTGCAGACCAGGACTGCACCCACTCTCATTCCTATCGACAGTACAAAGGGGTTTCTTACAAATTATTGCCAAAATAAGTAAGACTGCTGGGAGGATTGCTGCTATCTGGTTCTAAGAACGAGAAATGCTCGTGTCTTCTACTTTAGAAACATGAAGAGTGCTTTATTGTTTACTCACATTTACCTAGCCTTACGCGAGGACACAAATGTCTTGCAGGACTTGGAAAAAAATGTTGTTTTTTTTTTTTAAAATAAAACACTAGTTTAAGTGCTCGTTCAATTAAAAATATCACATGTTTTGTGAGATATTGCAGTTATGAAATTATGATGGACTTGTTTTATAAATCTTTTCATCTCAGTGAGTTTTAAACATATCAGGGTCTGAAATATAGATGCTTTGAATGATTTTAGAAATCACATGTCTCTAAGTAAAAACAGCAAGGCATTTCCTCTGTCATGCTCCTACCTCCTCTTGAACTTGACTCAAATTGTGAATCAGCTGTGTCCTCTCCTGGGTTAATTTTTCCAGTTCATCTGACTTGTGCTTAATTTCTTTCCTCATATTATCCAGAAATGATTCATTATTGCTCTTTTCCATCGTCAGCTGAAATTCAAGTTCAGTAATTAGTCTTTTAAGGCTTTGAATTTCTTTTTCCTTATCTTCATCTTTCTCTGCAAGTTTGATCTGGGCATCTTGTAGCTTCTTTTCAAGAATTTCTGCCTCCATCCTTAAGCTGTTGGTGGCACTGGATATTAATCCTGGTATCTGCATTAGATTAGACAAAAATTGCATTAATCTAGATTCAGTGGATATCGTTAGATGCGTAGAATTAAGTATCAGACAAATGTTGACTTCAGGAAAAAAAAGAAAAGTAAACATGCATGTCCTCAGAGACAAAAAAAAATTGCTTTGAATTTACATAATGCCCCCTAAGGATATCAGAGAGCTGTAAATTAATCAAAACTAATTCAGAACAGAGAGATTAATTAGTATGTCCAAGACCAAACGGAGAAACAGAGATAAAAAAATACTTCAAGCCAGTATTTCTTCAGAGTTTTAAAATCATCGTCAAATATTTGTAAACTAAGCCAAACTGTTACTGTCAGCTCTTTAAAACACTGTGTAACGTAACGAATTTTAAATAACAAAATAATTTCATCAGATTTTTTTTTTTTTTCCTGAATTCTCAAGAAATGCGTCAAATCTTTTGAAAACTAAAGTTACAGGTACAACTTTCAATTTCTATGGAAAACGTCAAAACCGGTGGGTCTGGGTAGCTGGGAGTAGCCAACTGCATGTGATGCAGACACCAGTACAGCCCCGAACGCCGTTAACTGGCTACCGGCCCTTACCCCATCGGTACTGAATTAATTTGGGAAGGGAGAAAACAACAGGGATGGTTTTGTGAATAAACAGACTGAAACAGTCTGGGACTGTCTCAGTCTGAAACGGTCCAAAGCTTTTAAAAATGATGATGTCAGTTTAGAAATAATTAACAACTACAGTCTATGGACGTAGAAGAACACTTAGCAGAGAAAATGTGAGAGGAGAACTTCCACACCATTTAACTGGGACTAGAACAGTTACTTTTTAGCCTGTTCCATCAAAAAACAAAACAAAAAAAAAGTCTATACTAAGACTGGGAAAAAAATATTGTATCATTTAGATACAGGACTACACATAAAGATGGTTTTTTCCTTCATGCACCATTTTTCAACAGTTTGCAGTACCTACTCCCACACAACCGTTCTCCGCAGTGTTACACACCTTCTTCTGGAGCTCTTCGTGATCTCGCTGATATTTTGTGATTAGTTCTTGCTGCTTTTGTCTCTCAATGTCTAGTTCCACTCTCGCTTCTTCCTTGACTTTAAGAATTGCTTCTTTGTGTCGTGCTTCCCCTTTAGCCAGATCAATTTCCATCTAGGGAACAAGTGTGTTTTAACGCTATGTAGCAACTCATCTGAAAATATTTTTCACATTCCGCAGCGCCGTAAATGAAGTGATGTGAAATTTGGCAGGCTGAGATTCCGGGCGCTGAACAAACACACCCCAACGGCTGCAACCGTTGGAGCCCGGCGAGCGACAGCTCCCGCCGGCACGGACGGCTCCTGCTCCGCAGCCGCCAGCCCCGGGGAAGCGTCTCACAAGCCCTGTGGTGTCTCAAGCCACGCTAAGATGCCCGATTTAGGGAGTTGAACTTCACGCTAAATCACTGCGAAATTACAAAATCCGTAGCCGGTTCTTAAAATAGGTTGTTTTGCTGGAAGCATTTGCTCTGGAGGTAAAACTCGGCTCGTTATTATTTTCAAATGCAGCAAAATGATAGGCTTTGGCTGGAGAGGGTCCAGAGAAGGGCCCCAAGGACGATCAAAGGCCTGGGCAGGCGCGTGAGGAAAGGCTGAGAGAACGGGGTTTGCTCGGCCTCGAGAGGAGGAGGCTGAGGGGAGACCTTCTCGCCACGTGCCGCTGTTTGAAGGGCGGCTGCAGAGGAGACGGAGAGTCCCTCTGTGCAAGGGGTCACGGGGGAAGACGAGGGGTGACGGGTACAAGTCTCCTGGGGAGACTCCCATGGGACACAAGAGGAAAATGTTTCATGCTGAAAACAATCAACCACTGGAATGATCTCCCCAGGGCAGCGGTGGGCTCCCCAACCCCGGACACGTCTAAGATTCAGCTGGACAGGGGCTGGGCCAGCTTGGCTAGACCCGGCTGTTGCTGGCCCCGTCGCTGAGTCGAGGTTCCAGGGAGCAGCGAGGCTCCACGGCTCAGCAGCTCCAGCTCGTTTTAGGGTCCGGACAAGCCAGCACTGCTGGTGTGTGTGTGGGGGGGACAGGCTCTGCGCAAAAAGAGCCGAGAAACAAAAGGGAGAATTTCAAATGCTGGGTAAAATATCCCGGTCCTTCAGACCCCTCACATAATTAACGCTATAAATTCAAAATGGAAAATTCAGCCATCATTTCCTGAAGATAAAAGCCTGGATTCTGGAGGAAACACCGAAGGCTGTATTTTGAAAAATAGTTTTCCTAAACCACTATGCTAATATTACATTTCTGCAGGCTGAATTCTAATGGACTTAATTGTAGCATGCTGAAAGAATATGAAAGGCACATTAAACATGCACGACGCTAGCCTAATTACTTAAAATTATTAAAAGCAGAAAAGCCCAGAATGATCTTAAATACAATTATCTAATTTCACATACTAATTATGAGCAAAAGTACCACAAATCTCGCTAACTGTTTTGAGGGAAAAGATAAACTGGAAATATTTGCATTATTTTTTCAACCAAAATATACCCAATTCTGGGCACGGAATAGGCACAAATCCCCCACTAAGGTTTAAGCTTAAAACTGATCTATCTGGAAGATCCTCAAAGCAGACTAATATTATGGTTATCGTTTTTACTATTATAGATGCATCTTCTACATTATTAGATACGGGAGTTAGGATTCGAAGCAGAGAAAAACAAATGTATTAACTCTACATATTATTATAAAAGCAGATCATATGGTGGAGGCTACTTGATTACAAAGACTAAAAAAAATAAAGGCGGTATTAAAAAAAAAAAAGAGCTCATTTTAAAGATTATACGAGCATTTTTCACATTTAACACTTGAAGCTAATAAAGCTGATAACCAGAACAGGAAATAAAACGGCAGTTGATCTTCAAAGCAAGCGTAATGGCTACTAATTGCTTTAAAACCACTTACATGCCCCTCGTTAATTATTATTTAAAAAATCCATATAACAAATGCTTACGTCGATCTTCAAATCTTTTGTAGAAGAGATTTTTTGTTGTTGTTGTTCCATTAAAACAATTTAGGGTTTATCTGTATTTTAAATAGAAAACTACGACACTTTATACTTATGCAACGGCACACTGACCCAAGAAAAAGATAACTTTGTCACTTTGTCACATTTCTGATTCTTTTGTCTGATGAGAACATTTTTAGAGCACTTGCTGTTCACTGCATTTTAATGGCTGGGGTACCGAAGCTGTAATTGCTCTCTCTTCCTAGTAGCAGTCTTTATTTTGTTTTAATGTCAGGTTGAACAATACGTTGTGATTATGCAGACAGTGTGACCTCATTCTAAAATTATATCCTGCGACGGAAAGCTTAAGAAGTTTTAAAAGAAATGTAACTGATCTTAATTGCTAGTAGTCCAAAAGTTTTCCTGTGACTAAATAACGCTTTCAGACACTTATCAGGTAGTGAGCCAAAAAAGAAAAAGACAGTAATTTTAGTCACCAATTATGTAAGGCTTAAGTCAGAGAAGTCAAGAGTTATTGTTCAACACTATTTTCAATTTTTCCTTCACAGATTTTAATTTTTTTTTAATAATTTATTAAATTTTAATAAATTTAATTTTAATTTTTTTTAATGGAATATTCTTATATTCCGTTTGGGGGGTTTTTTTGGTGCTCATGGGAGAAAGTTGCAGATTAAAACAAAGTTTACACGCTTCCAGCTGTTTATGGTAAACAGCTTTCCAAATCCCACTGGGAGACGCTGGCAGCTGGACTCTCCAATCCCAGTTAGAGTCTCCAGCTCAGAACTTCACAGTGCCTGGAAAGCTGCCGGGAGGAAAAGGACCTGGGGGGTGATGGCCAGCCGGCTGGACAGGAGCCAGCAGTGTGCCCAGGGGGCCAAGGAGGCCAACGGCATCCTGGCTTGTGCCAGCACTGGCGTGGCCAGCAGGGACAGGGAAGGGATCTGAGCCCTGGGCTCGGCACTGGGGAGGCCGCCCCTCGATTCCTGGGTTCAGTTTTGTCCCCTCACCCCAAAAAGGCCATTGAGTGACTCGAGCGTGGCCAGAGAAGGGCAACGGAGCTGGGGCAGGGTCTGGAGCACAGGTCTGCTGGGGAGCGGCTGGGGGAACTGGGGGGGTTCAGTCTGGAGAAGAGGAGGCTGAGGGGAGACCTCCTGGCCCTCTGCAACTCCCTGCCAGGAGGGGGCAGAGAGGGGGGATGAGTCTCTGGAGCCAAGGCCCCAGCGCCAGGCCCCGAGGGAATGGCCTCAAGTTGCACTAGGAGAGGTTTAGATTGGATATTAAGAAACATTTTTTCACCAAAACAGTTGCCAAGCACTGGAACAGGCTGCCCAGGGGAGTGGTGGAGGCACCAACCCTGGAGGTATTCAAAAGACGTGCAGACATGGCACGTGGGTTAGTGCTGGCCTTGGCAGTGCGGGGTTAACAGTTGGACTCAATGATCTTAAAGCTCTTTTCCAACCTAAACGATTCTATGACCCAAAACCCCAAGAAAAAGCAATCTGTCCTGCAGAGCAGAGCCAGAGCTCCCGACTCCCGAGATCACCGTTCCACAGGGAAGCTCCTCAAAGGCCGGTAGACATGAGGAGTGACAGCATTGCCACATTCCAACCAGCCCTGCAATTAGCTAAGAAACCTATCCAATTAGCACACACAGCAGACATACACGTATCTATTTTTTACATCAACTGAAAATATTTTCCCACAGAAGACCCCAAAACCAAGCACATACTAGAAGCTGACTAACAAATTACAACCTGACTTTGTAGAGTGCAATAATGCCAACTAACGATGTGAGTAGTTGTGGGAACCCCTTCTAACAGGAAAGCACTCCTAAAGGGGGGGTTATGCTTGTGGAACAGACCTGTGCGACGTGTCCGGCACCGGCACGGCCGCGGGGTGCAGCTGGGTGTGCTGCCCTGTCTCCGAGCTCTTTTCGGAATACCGCATCCTCCGTCCACGGAGCAGGACTAGACCTCCTCTCTCTTTCCCACTCTCTGTTCCCCAGCCAAGCCAGTTAGCCCCTGAATTCAGGGCGTGCTCTCGGCTGTGTTTTAACCATCCTTCTCATCTGTAGCCTTTACTCAATTTCTTTTTTCCGTCACTCCATTCAATAAAGGAAAAATGGGCATGTACAAAGGAGTATGCTTGTATCCTTCTCCCTCCCACCTTCCTCTTCCTCCTCACCGTGAAAGGAATCACCATCCAATTCCCAAAAGAGCCCAGGTGGGAAGGCGTATGAAAGTGGCTTTGCAGGCTTTTATGAGTCAATGAATAAAGTAACAAAGGATGGGCCATTTCACAGAGAAGCCAAGTCGTAGGAGCGTATTTTCTAATGAAATACAGAGGTATTTGCACAGTAAATTTCACTGAAGTTTTTATTTTCATACTGCTCTGATTTGAACGGAAAGCAAGTAAAAAAAAAAAACCAACACAGCAGAGTCATTAGCAGGAGCCTATCTGGCAGAGATGTGACTGCCTGAAGGGAAGGATTGATGCAAGAGGTCAGCAGAAAGCGCAGCAGCCCTTCACACCCCAGAGGCCCGTTCCAGCTCTGGGACTGTCACCGTGACAGACTCCCTTAGCTCTATTTACCGCCAGCCCCCCCCAGCTCAAGCGAACGGAGGAGCCCCGTTCTCCCTTCCCCATTCCTCAGTCTAACCCTAACCTGCCTGCCATGCCCCTTAGCCCCACCACTGGCTCACGGCGGGGTGTCACTCTCCTCTCTGTACGCGGGGGGCTTGTCCCAGCACCAGCGGGAACGACGGGTTCGTATCAAAACAACAAATGCCACGTTCACAGAGGGCTTGGAAAGGGTGGAACTGTCACGTTACCTCTTCACCACGCCACAACAGCTTGTTCAGCTCTGCTTTGGTTTGCAAACCCCTGCCTTCTATGGAAAAGGACAGCTTTGCTCATCTGCTTATTATTTATTTTATAGATTTGTTTTACAAATCACAACCTTCCGTTCCAGTTAACCTGTGAGCAGGGAGGCTCTGTGTTCTCTCCATCTCGCCAACAACGCCCAACCTTGTTTTTACTGGGAAGCTACCTCAATATTAAATATATGCTTTCCTAAGCTCGGTCAGATGCGTCAGGAGACAAAGCCAGGCGCTGATGCTCTTCCCCACGCAGAACTGTGGGTCAGGGTTCGTAACCCAGACTGCTGCCCGGAGAACAGGGTGGGCTCTGTACATTCACCCCCTTGGAGCTTGTGTAGGACAATGGCCCAGGCCGTTAGACTGGGCTTTTCCTGCTCCTCACAGCCTGGCCTCCAGGGGACTGCCTGCACTCCTAACACAGGCACTTCGCAAATACCCTGAAACCTGGGAAGTCTGGATCAGACCTGAACATCTGCCAAGTCTGCAAACACTCGTTTATGTACATTTAGCACACCTTCTGTGGCCGGGTCCAACCTATGTAGAGAGATCACTCATTAGAGCCTCTTGCACAAAGACTACTACTGACATGTTTACACTCGAGGAGATGGTTATCTGGCTTACTGTGCTCATCCGTGACAGCTGACTCCAACTGAAAAAACCAACAAAAACAACAAAAAAAGAGAAGAAATCAAAAAGGGTGCCAACTGCACATCCAGTATTACCTTCTCCCTCCAGTTATCTTCATTCCGCATCTTCTGTCTTAATGTTTCCTGCAGCTGCTCTGTTCTGTTCTGATGAGAAATCAGCATTAACTCCCTAGAAACCACAAAAACTCGTATGTAAATATGTGCTCGGCCCAGATTGGTGGTATGCCATTTTCTTGCAATTAAGCCCTTTGTGGCAAAGGCTCTTCTCTTCCTCTCAGTTTAGTATTCCGTGCAGTAAGCCCAACCACCCTGCCTGAGGCCCAGCAGTAATCGCTACCTAACACTTGCATAATGCTATCACATGCTTTACGAATTTGATGTTTTAAAGAAAATACTAGAGCTGATCTTTCTTATACACTCACATATTTAAGCCTCAAATATTTTTAAATATTCCTCAGGTCAAATTTTGAAGAACGCTGAAAAACTGAAGAACGTTGAAAACATTAAATACGACACAGAAATTGCATTTGATGAGCTCTGAATATTACTATCATTAATTTAAAGACCGTAATAGGTTTTGAATTAAAACCACTGAGTGCTTTCTCTTGTTAGAGTTACTGTTGGTTACGTGAGGCTTATAGAGCAAAAGCCCTAAAGAGTTTAAATTCTTGTAACTTAGACTATTAGCAATGTACCAACTGGAACAAGTCATGTATCCGGGGTTTAAGTAGAAGGGAAATATTCTTAAATTAACACGTAATATCTTTTCATGCACGTACTAAAGCACGAGGAATATTCAAAGCCTTTAAATATGAAAACAGCTTAATGCCTCTTGGTGCACATCGCTGAGAAAATGCTTATCTTCTCCACAAGGCACTTCTCTGAACACGTTTCCTACTGCACACAAATCAAACAAACCACGTACCACCATCTCTTAATTAGGGGACAGCACTTCCCATTCGCCAACAAAAGACAAGCTCATTCATCAGTAACTGAAAATTTACTAGGAGGACACTTTTAAAGGGTAAAAACAAGCCCGTGGTTGTTAGGAATAAAACTGGATATGTAGTATTACATTTAAAAAAATGTGGATTTAGGTCGGTAAGCGCACAAGTCTGAAACAAAGGCACTCCAACTAGACGCCGTTCCAGGAAGACAATCCCCACAAGCTCAGTGCTTTATTTTCCACGCACGAAAAGTAATTACAGGGAAAATGGCAGCTTGGTTGATCCCCGAGACCTTTCAAAATAAAGATTAGACTGGCGGGAAGTTGTCTGCACCCTTCACCAAATCCAAGAGTACATCCAACAAACTGGCATACCGCAATATTTGCGGCATTGTTATGGTTTGCAAGTTGTTAATAACATAAATTACAGGAATTTAAGCTCTACAGGCCTCACGTAACAAATAGCAGCTAGAACGCCGGCAGTAAATGGGGGTTTTCATTATGCTTGAGCTGAAGTCCTGCACTGCAAAGCAGAGCCTTTTGGCTTTTTGGGGGTTTTATTTGTTTGTTTGTGGTTTTATTTGGAAGGGTTTTTTTTCTTTTTCTTTCAGGTTTTAATAATAAAGGTAATAATTTTAAAAATCCAAAATATGAGGATATTTTCTCAGGGCTGCCAGAGTTCTGCCCTGCAAGCAGGAGGTGAGAGTCCGCAGCGGCAGGGCAGGGCTGTGCTGAGCGCCCAGGCACGGCAGCCACTCCGGAACACTGAGCTGGGACCACCAGGTCTCTCCCAGTCCGCCCAGTGCCACGGGCAGTTCTGGGGCCTCTCCTCCCACCTCTCACCAGCACAAACCACCTCTGGTGCTCGGCAGAATCCATCTGCCCTTTCAGTAACAGTGAGGCTCTGGCAGAAGAGGAATGTTTTATTTTCAATTTGCAGAACAAAAACCTAGGCTGAACGCAGAGTCACAGGAGATCACCCGTGGTGACTCAGCTCCCATTACCTTTCTTGTTTCAACATCACCACCTCTTCCTCTGTTTGTCTAAGAAGAGCTTTAAGTGCTTCCAGCTCACTTTCTGATCGACCAGTTCTTCTTTTTAGATCTTCTTCTTTCCTTTCTTTCTCAGCCACTTCTTCCTGTAAATGTTTGCACACTTGTTGGCAAATCAGAAGAGATTCCTCTTTTTCCTTGAGCTCTTTTGTAAGTCTACAGATGAAATTAAAAAGTATCAGCATCATAGTTACTATATTCTCATTTATAGACAGAAACTAAATAGACAGAAAATAAAGTATTAGACAAACCCCCATATATTCCTTACAAAGGTAAACCTGGCGACTTGAGCACAAAACCAGAAAAAATGGTTGCATAAAAGCTGCATTAAGGTCATAAAATTTTTGCTCTCACTGCTCAGAAATTCATACATTATGTTACGAAACATAATTTCAGCATTTACCTTGACTCGGAAATTCCATTTTCATATTTCATTTTTTTCAGTTCATTTTGACAGACATCAAGTTCTGTTGATTTCACCCTGAGAAAACATTAACAAAAAATACGTGTCCTGTCCAAAGAAACGATAGTCTTTACTCATGCAGTAACCCGAACATCATTTATTGATGTATTCCCTAACTTGCATTTTCTATTTCAGTTAAAAGGCAGAGAACAAAAAGTTCTTCCAGTTCTAGCTGACATTTGTAAGTAGTTGGAAGTTACACCTCCAACGTAATCTCAGCCTAACCTAGGGTCACAAGATTAACGTTGCAAACAGGAAAGCGAGATCTTGCAACACGGATGAAAGTTTCAAGATGTGAATAAAAATGAACAAATAACAATTTAGGAGGTAAGAGGGCTGGAAACTTTGCAGGTTCCTTGTCATTATGTCATCACTTCACCAATTAATAACCATGGTTAAGCGTCATATTTATATTTAAACAGAGTATGTTATTTTATTAAATTGTACCCACATTACATTGAAATTTTAATATTACATTTGGAAACCCTTTACTGTTTAACTGTGCTCATGAAATCTGTTTTTCATACTCAATACTTGTTATTATCATTAAAAGACTTTGTTGCTAAGCATTCCAAATATTTGCAACTTCATTATGATCAGACCCTCTGAATACAGGCACCGGCACCAGAAAGTACACATCATAAAAGAACACAGCCTTGTCTAAACTTCAGGGAAGCGCACAAAAAGACTGATGAGAGCCCCTCTCCAGATCGGCTGTTATAGTTCATTACTCGCAAGCTTAATATTTGAAACAGCAATTTTTGTTTTCAGTAGTGAGTTATAAAGTGTTATAACGGCAGTACTAGCTCATTACTCGTGAGCTCAATATTTGAAACAGTAATTTCTGTTTTCAGTAGTGAATTACGAAGTGAGTTATAAAACGCTGCCGTTTCTGAATGATTTTTCTACTCTACATGCAAGCAAGGAGGATTTTAAATGCAGGGAGGCATTCAGATCCCAAACCCCGCAGCTTTTAGAGGTGATGGCACGGGTCCCACTGTGTCTGGGGACCCTTCAACAAACGGAATTGCGTGGCCATTCAAACATTAACCCGGGAGAACAGCGTGCAAGAGCACACCAACACCTGAGCAGAGGTGCATCTTTTTCCTTATTCCCTCTCGTTTCTGCTCCCCCTTTCACCTGTGGGCTGCAGCAGCGGCATCTGAAAGCACCGGGGCTGGGGGGGCTGGAGACGGGGCATTGCGAGCGCTCGCTTTTCAGTCATCGTGCTTCAGTCCGCTCGGACAGGGGGCTGATGACATTCTATTTCTGCTCTATTAATTGAGGCTTTCCATACGCTTACTTGAAGGCGTAAGCACAACGCAGTAAAATCACAAACCGCATGAGCATACTGGTGCATGGAGAAAAGTCACAGCAAGTTGGCATTGGGGGGGCGAATAAAAAAAAAAAAGAAATCACAATCGCTGATTAAATACTAAAGTTTCTTATTTGTTTTACTGCACCCTTCTCTCCATCCTAAACCTACAGCGTGACATACTACTTTCCATATACGTTTTTAGTCCAGAAGTTAGGCGGATTTCACAAAATGTATCCTACACTGCGTGTTAAACCAAATGTGGGACTGAGCCGACTTAACCCTCCTCTTTGCTGTATCATTAAACTCAGCTGGAGGAAGAAAGCCTGGCTTGCACAGGTACAGACTGTTTAATAGGAAGAGAAAAGATTTTCTCTGTTGGTCATAACCTTCTCAAATCATCACGACAAGCAGCAAGCTCAGAAAAAAAAAAAAAGTGGCCTGTTTTAGCTCTCTGCGCAGCGGCAAAGCAATGAAGCCAACAGAAATCTTACGTTAACAGCTTTTTGTAGTGGTCCATCTCGGCTGTTACTTTCTGCAGCTTCAGTCCAATTGTCTCTACTTGATTTGTTAAATCTGGAAACAAAAACATGGGTTTCACGTCTGTATTTACACTAAAAATCACTTTTACACGTGTTGTGGTTTATTTGCATCGCAGCCATGCAGCTCCTCGCTCCCACCTCAAACAGGCAGAGCAGTCCATCACAGCACTGCCTCCGCCCGAGGCACAGCGGCCATCTCTGGAAAGCACGGCTCTATGATCTGGAAGACTTGAATTGATTTCTCACTGCTTACAAACCCTCTAAGCCGGTTGTTTATATTTTCTTAAGAATAACAAATTACTTTGACTGAAAAGGTGGGAATGCTGCTGCGCTGCTGCCCGCTTCAGAGCAGCCTTCCAGTTTCTGTTCATGCACTAACAGAGATTGGCTTTATAGTAAGAAACTGGTTTGGGGGGTTTTTAATCCCACTAGGAAACATCAAATTCAACCAAACGTAAACACGAGCTGCTTTAAGTCATACACTTTGTACATAATGCTGAGAGCCAAAGCATGCAGGGAGGCAGACCTGGAAATAATCTGCTAATGGTGCCTCCTACAAAACACTGACCCTGACGTACAGGTTCTATGTATTTTGTCTTAGACTCTCTCAGCCAAATGTTATCTTTCCGAACACATCACCTATCAGTTTCAGTCAGACGCTGCCTTTTTTCCGGGATATGTCCCAGTTCTTTTCATCTGTACAATCAGTTTAATTTTTTGTTTGTTTGTTTTATCCTCCACTTGGAAAAAAGACTTCCAAAGAAAATACCAAGCAAAGATAAAAGAAGTGTTAAATATCACTCCTTCTACGTAGTCTCACGTAAATGAAAACGTGACACATCCCAGCAGACAACGTGACACTTGGGATTTATGATCTTTGTGCCCTCCGAGCGAGGCTCGCTCCCAGCAGGGCTCTGCAGGACAGACGCCCTCAGTCTGTCCTCCCGGCACAGCACCCGGGCGGTTTGTTGCATGCAGGTTACAAGCATGTGATGTGCAAAACCACAGGCTGGTCACGACAGATCAAACTTTCTCACCAGCTTGTTTGCTTGCAGGTGGAAACTCATTGTAAAAGCTGACCTGAAATCCCTTAGTGACACGTAACAGACCGTTTGGGCTCAAAGAAGACAATAACAAATAATTCAGACTGGGCAACTTTCTTGAACAGTTTATATATCAAAGAAATCTCATCTAGTTTTGTGTTGCATAATAGGATCATTTTGTTTAAAAAAAATCCTAAGCATAGTCATAACTTCAAGACTTGAAGCCCTATAAAGTGACATAACAGCACGTACCTTAATCTGATTCTCATCTTAACGAACACAGCTAAATGTGCTCCTAAACACGCAGAGCTGGCTTTCAAGAAAACATAAGAATGACCCAGAATCAAAGCTGCCTCTACAAAAAAGGCAGCACCATAAGCTACACAGAAAAACCCCATAAAATAGAGCACTGCAGCAAGTACAGAAGTGGAAGAAAACCCAAGGTTTTCCCTCAAAATGCCACAGCGGTTGGCAGCAAACGGAGCAGGCAAACGTACACAAAAATTCACTTTCCCTTGAACACGGGATGTAAATTTGCCCCAATTGCTTTCCCCGGAAAGGGTCTGGGATTTTTAGTCCCTATTTAAGAGCTTTGCCTATCACTGGGTGACTGGTTGTCCTCAAAAAAATAATTCAGAATCAGGAAAGCCAACTATTTAAATAAAAATCGGTCCTTCATCACTGGCCAGACCAAGCCAGGAGCTTACCTTTCTTTTTGCCGATTTTATGAATGTGCCAGTACTTCTGCATTAACCAGCACACCACCACAACCCCCCAGGTTCTTCTCACTGATGCTCCTGAAGAAGTGAACCCACAAATGACACTCGGATAATTTCTTGGGAGACTTAAAAAAAAAAGGACACTTAGAGAACAAAACCTCCTGTAGCAGCAGCACAGTGGTATCATCTCTAAAATAATTTTGCAATTCTGCAACTGTACTTTTTCATAAAGTGCTGCTAGTGGGGGTGGAGGAAAAGGGAGCCATAGGAACGCCTGGGCTCGGACCAGGAAAGCTGGAGGTTGCCCAGGAGCCCTTCTGTATCTAACGCACCCGTGGCTCGTGTCCCGAGCACCTGAGGGTGCAGCACGGGCAGAAAGAAGAGAGCAGTCCTTGTACTGCTGTGCTGAAATATTTTTAAAAATACAGAATATCTTATGTTCTCCTTCAAATAAAATACATTTTTGGGAAAATTATTTTAGTTCAAAGCTGTAGAATTACATGAAGCTGGGGAACCTGCGACCAGCACTCTCATTTTTTCATAGAGCGTGATCACAAGAGGTTCACGAGCATTTCTACGCTTGGCATTATTTGCATAACATCTATAAAAAAAGTGAATATTCACGTGTGCTTTCCATTCCCTAGAGCTTTTCGCCAAGAAATGGTGTAGAAAGAGATGAGAATTATAAAATATAAACATTTTGAAACTTACTGATAAGCTTGTTTAAAGAAATTGATACAACAGTATTGAAACTAAAAAAAAAAATAAAATCCTTGTAATTACAAAACCCCTAGAATTCAGAGCTTAAGGTTCCTTTTGATGCAGTGACAATTTAACTAGTGTCAAATAAGCTTTCACGTTTGAACAGGGTGGATGTTTGTTGGCTTTAACAGATACATTATTCATCACAGATATTCACAAAACACCTTGCACAGGGTCATACGGGAGGTAAAAGCTGCTCTCGAAATTAGGGCTTCTTAGATCTAAATTATTTAAGTTATTGGCTTTCCAATAATTTCTGGCATGTGTTGTTCAAGCGAGTTATTTGAGGGGGTTTGGAGGGGTAAATGACGATGCGCGTTTCCGGGTGACTCGCTGCCTGCCCATCTCCTTGGCATTCCGCACAAAACTGTCAAAGGGACCTTTTGGAATCCGACAGACGTGGGAGGGTTCCCGCACTCAATGCCAAGCACACAGCACTTCTAGGAGTTATTAGCAACTTCCAGGTTTCTGTCAAACCACATACAACTCTGAAATTCTTTTCCCCATTTCATGAAATATAAGAACGAGAGGTTATTTGCACTAGAATTTCAACAGGTCATTTTTTTTCCTCTTTGAAAATATGAATAAATGAATGCAAAACCTATACAAATGTAGCTAGATCGGTGTAAACTAATGCTCCAGTATATTCCAGAAATTGTCTTTCACAGAATAGCATCATGCTATACTTTAATTTTTCAAGACATAAGAAGTCTTAGGGCAAGAGGGAATGGCCTCAAGCTGCCCAGGGCAGGGTCAGGCTGGCTCTGAGGAAGGATTTCTGTGCAGAAGGGGCTGTTGGGCGTTGGAATGGGCTGCCCAGGGCAGGGGGGAGTCCCCGGGATCCCTGGAGGGGTTGAAGAGTCGGGCTGAGCCAGCGCTGAGGGATCTGGGGGAGTTGGGAACGGTCAGGGGGAGAGTCATGGTTGGACTGGAGGAGCTGCGAGGGATTTTCCAACCCGGATGATTCTGGGATAGTCCATAAACTTCAAACTAAGATGAACTATAAATACACAGGCACACTGAGGACATTCTGGGCCTTCTGGAAATTGTGTGTATTAAAGGAGAAGGAGATTATAAGCATAGATAATAATTCACTATTTACTACTGATTATTAACTATCTATATTCAGTTAGTAGAAAGTATTTATCATTTACATCAGACTTTCAGCAAATTGAAGAATCAAAGGGAGCAATTACCTACAGTTTCTACCTGACACATCATATGTTGGCATTTAGACTAAAGAAGTCTCAGAAATCCATAGGGACTGACCCTCTTCATCGCAGAGGAAGAAGATACTTCGAGTTTTGCAGCAAAGGGCTGTTTTTCCTATGACAATATTGAAAAGAAACGGAAAGTGAAAAGGTCTGGCAACAGGGAAATCAAGCCTCACGCATAAATCAAGCTGCGGTCTGGCAAAAGTTAAGTTAAACTTCCTTCGCACCCCGTTCCAAGAGGCATTTATTACCTCCGCAGCCCAGTGCCTGCCCCAATTTCCCAGCAGTGAAGCGTAGGCTCTGTACAGCGACAGGAGGGCAAGGATCTGTGCGGCGCCACTTGCACAGCATCCAGGCAGCCGGGGGGAGCCGGGGGCTCTCAGGATTTCTCTGTGACACCGTCGAAACCCCTGGTCTGGGCACCAGCCACCAGGAAATACGTTCCCTCCGTAAACCACGGGCAGGCACAGCTGAGCTAGGAGAAGCTTGAGGTGAAGGGGAAGGCCAGCTCTAAGGCCTCCAACTCTTCATGGCGGCACTGCTGACTACACCTGGAATAATATTTACTAAATAACTGGTAGCCTGCATTTGCCCCTGTTTGTCCCTGCCCTTCCTGTGACACCAGTCCCCAGGGGCTTTGGTTTGATGGTGCTCCTCAAACTGATGGAAGGTGGTAGGAAGCTCTTCCACGTCAACCGTGCCTGAAGTTTAATGGTAGTGCGTGACCACAATAAACGGCAAGAGCAGCTTATCTGTGTGTCAAACCCCACTGGGAACCAGTGGTTTGAATCTTTCAGTACCCTCCCACTGTTTCTGGTTTGTGCCTGGAAAGCCAACCACATTCTCCCTCCGCTCCCTGGGAAAGAGCCACTGAGCATCCACGCTTTGGACAGAACCCACAGAGATAAATCACTGACAACCTACGACTATTTAAAAACCATGTTTATGTGACAGCGTTCTTGCCAAAACTTCCTCTCAGCTGTTTCAAAGACGTCTCCAACAAACGCCCATTGTAATCAAAGCCATGCAGTCACTCTGTTATCTGAGTCCCGTTATCTGTGTCAAGAAACTGCACAACAGACACCGGACCAAGCCGTGACATTCGCTGCTCGGAGCTGGCATCTTCGCCTTCTTCACGGACGGGAAGTCATGGCCAAGTCCACGGAGGACAGATTAGACCACCTGCAGTTTCTTTCGTTTACTTTAGTTTGTTCAACTGGGCATTCTTCAGTAATGTATTGTTCTGTACATTTTTCCAAGGCTAAATAATCCAACTTTAATTTCCTGTCATTCATC